GAGAGTTTGACATCAACACATATTTGTAAAGGCAACATTCGGCATCAGGTTTTCTTCAATCCTTGCACCCTCAATATCTTAAGTCTCAGGAAGAGCGCTTGGTATATGAAACAACAAACATTACAATATAAACAACCATAAGCTCGGATGCACTGCATCTATGTACACAAAACAAACCCCCTCATAACTCAGCAAGAGGTTTCATCATAGGGTGAGCTTTGAATATTCTGGGAGTCATAAACAAGCATGGTGCAAGCTCCTGCAAGCTCTGTAATAAGCTGTATTAAAGGCTTCACAAAGAGCATTTCGGACAATGTTCACAAAACCAGTAGCACCACACACTGCGAGATTGTAGTGATTTTACATCGGTAAACAGCGGATACAAGAAGCATTTCTACAGATAATACAATTTAAAAACAATACACTCCTCTGGTAAAGTGCTAAGCAGAGGGTTAGACTCTGAGCCACTCAGGAATTCAAGGTGGGCTCACAAAGGTGTTGCACCTCTTGAGGTGTGCTGTTGCCTTAATATATATGCACCTCTTCGCCTTGAACGAACAAGTCGTCGATTATCGTGGGATATCAATAAATGTCACTGTTCAATGCTTTGTTCCCCATGTGAATGCACGGACTCACACAGCAGCCCACGTATAATGATAACCGTTGCGCGACAGAAGTACACCCCGAGAGGTGCAACATTTTTGCACAGGATGCTATGTACTGTTCAGTAACAGACAACTGTTCTCTACGGAAAAACAAGGCACATAGCAAAAGTAGCCTGGTGGGGCTTTTGAGCAAGGTCACACACGGTTATGAACGGCGGTCGCACGATTGAGCACACATGGTCACGACTGGTCTCTGAGGAAGACGCAACGACGCAGAAGTTGGCTTTTCCCCACTCTCCTCGAAGAGGATACAATGGCACAGGTTATGTACATCTCGGAGACAAATGGCTCCGCGTCGACACGTCTCAAATGCAGAATAAGCCCCGTTTGTTTAGCAAAATAACTTGAGAAGACACATAGTAACGGAGATGAGAATCTACACAATAATTGTTACAATAACCCTGATCTCCTCCCCTCGTTTCTGAAAACCTGGACGCATTTTCATTTTGCGACTCGTGAGCACGAGTTTCAACTATTTAGAAGTGCAGTTGTAGTGCAACAAAGGTTTCTGCGTGTTTTGAAATTTGTGAGCAATATTGGCAAGGCCGACTTTGCAGCTAGATCGCCGTAAGAGCGTGAAAAGTTTCACCATTAATGCCTATGACACTTCCCGTTGATGGCCCATATTCTTCTCCGATTGTTTAGTAGCAAATAGCAAAAGGGTTTAACGATTGTAAACTCTGCATTTGTACTAACACACCTCCCAGGTGTAAGCACCCTTGCTTACTTCCGTTTCACATTTGCAATGCACGAACACTACCAGCAGCAGCGTGACTGCAAAGCACTCATGGGGGCAGCCACTCCGACGCTGCCATGAGTGGTCAAGAGTGCCTAAAAATCAACTACCCTGCAACGTTGGTCAGTCTCTCTTAAACAACTAGTTGGCCATCTAGATTTGATTTTAACTGGTCTCTGAATATTCTGTGTACACGTGCACAATTACTCGTGCCCTCTCCAGTAAAGTGATGATGTCAGAAACAAATGCTTAGGGAATTCGGGCCAACAAAACAGTGTTGCGATCCCTCTCACTATTGAAAAAAAAAAGCTGTGGATGAAGCGTAAAGAAACGCTCCACTGAACATATGAGCTCACTACTTTTATTTAGTCTGACACTTTTCTGCGACTTCAAGCCAAACACCACAGACACTATGCAAGTACTCTAGCCACATCTTGTGAGATGCTTTCACTTTATGTGCTATTAATGAGGTTTTGGAGTAATTGCCAAGGATCTATTGTATACATTTACAATAGAGAATGCCATCAGAGGACGAAGGAATCTGGACGAAAGAAGAAGCTTTCTCAAACCTAAAATTTCACCTAAAGAAAACACGCAAATTATACATGCAAATACTCATCACAACTGACACAAGGGCCAAATTTAAGTTGCACTGATATGCCTCGTGTGCTATCCAAAAGTGTGGAGTGAAACAAATTGTACAATTCAGTTTTAGCAATAACTCGCAAGTTACCTATCAGCTACAACGTTAATTTTTATTTACAAGCAAGTACAGTCGACTCTCGTCAATTCAGACTCAAAGGGACCTATGAATTTTGTTTGAATTATCAGAAGTTCTCAGATAGATGACTCTGGGTGAGGCGACACCACGCACTATCATTAGGCATTCGTTTTATCACATTTGAAAATTTTTATGTGTTTTTAAACCCTAACTGCACGCAATGAACAAAAAGCAAAGGTGTAAGGTCCACAAGTTTATTGGCCATTTACCGCTGATCAGACCTTTTAAAGAAATCGTGAATTGCCAACTGCTTCATTGCTATATGCGCCTTCAGCACAAAGCTCTCTCTACTAGTTGAGAAGCACCACAGTTGACCATACGTGTGCTTCATTTCAAACATTTGTTTAGTAGTAAAGCCTTTTTTTTTGAAGGCCTGAGGCACTTATTTTTCATTTTTAGACTGTTAGGATTATATAGGCATGCAAATTTTTAAATAGTACGTAGTGGGAAAGCGGCAGATATTTTCTGGTATAAAACCGCAAAAAGTATGAGTTACCCAAATGATGTTTGAATTAGGAGGCTTTTAAACACACTGAATAGAGGGCCAATCAAAAAATTGAATTTTGTTTGAATTAAGGGGGCAGACTGCTCTTTGGGACGAAAAAGTGACAAAAAAATTCATTTTTTAAAATTGACATATTTGGTTTCGGCAGGTACTTTCCTATCTCTCTGCAAATTTTCACGCACCAGGAAGTAGTAATTTTTTTGTAATGTCATTTTAACTGTGCAGATTCTTGGTGCTGTTAACATGCAGAACCTGCAAAAAAACGGGGAACCGACTTTGAGACTTCTTTATAATTTGCCAGCACCTTTGTCTAAAGCTCTACTACCAATTTATGAGCCCTCTCATGAGGATTGCAAAACATGCGCACCATGATTGTTACTTTTTGAAGAAACCGTGGTTTTCACTTTTTTCCATTTTTCTCAAAAAAGTAATTTTGTGACTATTCGATTTTGAGGCCTCAATATCTCTGCAGCTAGGGCAGGTACAAGAATAATTCTTTTTGCAATGTAAACCTGTATATGTGTTGAATGCAAGTATGGGAGCAGAATTTAGAGCACATGCCTTTTTAATTAATTACCAATCAAAATTGTAACACAATTCAAACTGCTTTTGAAAGTGTATAGTTCATTTTGCTGCAAAATAACCAATAAAGGCCTAAAAACAAAAACCTCTTCCATACTTTCACTCTATAGTCATTAGTCTATGTTGGCATATCCTAAATATCACTTTTAATTAAGCACTTTTTTTTCTATGGTGGCCTTAAACAATAGGGGAGGAACTTAAGTTATCTCAGGAACAAAGTGAGTTACAGGAAAACTAATTAAATATTTGAAATCAGCAGAAAAAACTGCATAACCCTGTGCAGTTTTATCAAGATCACTGAAGAAATAAACAAAAAATGTCTAAGACCAGTCTGCCCCCTTAACCGAAAGTATGATTTATCACAGTTTCAGTTATCGTGAGCCTAGTGCACTTTGTAATGTCTTCTTCCTTCATCGTTATCTGCTTTGCTATCCTTAAGTTGTAATGGCAGTACATAATGCTTTGTCTCCAATGATGACAACAGCCATGTATGCATCGACCGTTAGTCCCCTGCTCACTTAATTTACATTTTCAGCTACTCTAAAACCTCAAAAATAGCACTAATCACCTCTCTCGGGCAACATAGGACTGTTTAGCGGGGCTGGTCAAAAAGTGCGTAAAAAGTGTGAAACGGGAGTCTTCACTTTGATTGTCAAACCGTAGACATGGCAAGGTCGTAGCCTAGTCGGCACTTAGCCTTAAAGAAGTTCCGCGATGATGACGCACCAGTAATGAAAAAGAATCGCACTACCAGCGCAATCACCTACGGACCCGATTCGTTCAACATAAGGGATGGACTGAAACAATGCGTAATGGCACACCAAGACATCTTTTCAGAAAAAACTCAACAATTACGATGATGCTGAACACTGCCGCGCGTCTCTCAAATGTTTGACCAGTAAGCTAGACCGCAGTTGCGTTTACCCACCATTCGCGCTCAGCAGTTACGATGTGGATTACGTGTGGGAGCAGCAAGTCATTACAGCGGACAGCCGGGAATGACGATGCTAATTTACAAACCCCAACGCACAAAGGACACGGTACACTGCACACAACAGGGAATTCATAGACACGCGGCAATTCAGTTACGTCGAAAACGGTGCCCACACTGATGAGCACCTGCAGCGCAGTAAAAGCGTATTAAAAAAAAAAATCTGGCCCTCTTCGCAGAAGAGACAAAAGCACCATGTAGTATTCTCGCTGCTTAATGATGAGTACCACAGTATAATGCCTGCAAACATCACTCAAAACTAGCAAGAGAAGTGACAACGATAACGCTGCCAGCGATGCAGTTGTACAATGCGATACGAACGACACTGCAATGTATGGGGGAATTCTGGCAGACAGGAATGGGCGAAAGGTAGACAGCGGCTTCACTCATTACCTGAAAAACACATTCATATTACTGTGGCTATATATTTGATATCAGAAGTAAGCTTGGAAAACACATACGCTAACAAATGCTTGCTTCTGCACTGTGCTTTCGCACGGCCATGGCTCGCAGCATGGCACGTAAATCTTAAGACGGGACCGACAACTGTATGGAACATGCAGACTTTACGGCAAATACGAAAACGCTGATGCCTCACACTAATGAATGCAAGTATGAATTTTACAAGGGAACATTAATTTTCATATTGGCACAGAAAGCTGCGAGAAATTCCAAGACTGGCGCCACATGATTTTGACTCGTTATGCACATACACTCCCATCTTATTTTAACAAAGTTGAATCTTACACAAAAATAGGTTATTATATCTAAAAATTCATTATGAAGGCCCGTTCCTAACACTATATTGCAATACTATTTTTCATCTACTTTGTTATAACGAATAATTTGTAATATCTGGGTTCGTTATATTGAGGTTCCAGTGTAGTAATTGCTGTCATATGCCCTCTAGGGCAAGGAAGAGCACACATCTCGCTTTCCGAATGTTCAATTGGGCTCTTATGAATTACTGGCGATGCGCGCTTCCATCTTGCCACTCAATAACATGATAAGGCAGGAGTGCGAACACAACACCATAGCCCCTTCAGGCGCAAATCACAATGCACTATTTAAGAATGCAATAAATTCACATAACATTTTATTAAATGCTTCATCAATCTATAGTCAATCATGTGACAGTGCACTACAACAATAGATTTCGCCGCACCAGCTTGATGCATCCTGGTGGCTCAAGGTACTAAATGAAAAATCAAACATTCACCATTGCCTGAGGCCTCCCATATGCAGGAATGCGCACAAAGCTCACAAGGAGTTTACACTAACTAGAACAGGAACATAGTCCAGTGGAAAAAGAAATTTGTACGCCAAGTACTGCCAACGCCCTTCATCCAAAAAAATAAATAAAAAAAATGTGAAGACAGAAATAGGGGTGTGCAAATATTCTAAGGTTTCAAGTAACAAATTGATTAGTGTTCGATTCGTGAATAGACATGGAATCCAATCATACATATTCAAAGTAGGAAATAGTCTTTGAACACGTTTCGAATAATCATCACAGACATCAATACTCCAAAGGGATAAAAATTTTTGAACAGGGGGGAATCTTTATGATAGCTTTAATTATTAAACTGCCAAGATACACACAGTTAAACCTTTTACAGTATCACCAGAGCTATATTGATCACCGGATGAAGGCGTTCTTGCTTAAAACTCTAGTGTTGCCAAAGCAAGTGGTTCCTCAATCTGCAACTGTCATGATGAGATTAGCGAAGATGTTGACTCATGAACCATTGCCTAATTTTAGGACTCAGTTATATTCAAATTCTGCTGATAAGGTACCGCCTTGAATACTAAAGAAACTGCTTTATTCAACATACAGTTACAAAACACTTCAAAGGCTCTAGCCGCTGGCGTACACAAGCTTAGCCCACTTTACATGATTGTCTATCTTGTGCGGGTAAAAAAAAACGGTAAAGTTACTACAAGTTTGTGAAAAATTTTTTCTTTAAACTGTGGAATTACAGGTCTGTGTCGAAGATGGCTGTCTTACGATTTGAAAACTATTTGACTTGGTTCTAAAATTCACTATTCGCAGATTCTCCCAAAAGAAACCAGAACACTACAGAGCTGTCTGACCAAACAAAATGAAAATCACAATGTGAGCGTGACAAATATCTGATGCCGCAAGGACTAGTTGCCACCATGGCACAAGGAAAAATTTAACAATCTTGAGCACGCATATTAAAAAACTGCAGCGGCACCAAAAACACTGCTTCAACATAGTTCGATCCACTGAATGATGCTACAACAAGGTGAACGCTGATGATGCTTTGAAGAAAGCCAAAGCCACTAACAACAGCAAAAGCTCTCACCATGAATAACCACCACAAACCCCATTACAAGTTTGTTATAAGCCATGTCATACTAGAAAGGGTTTGCATGAATGTTACTGCGATCAGCTGTTATGAATTTAGAAAATGAAGGTCGCAGACATGTTTATGGACGTTAGGAACAATGTTGCAAGTTGAAACTAAAACTGCGTGAATTGATAAGGTGCAGTGGTTACATACAGGGCTGGTGTTGGTATGGGTTTTCACTTTTGTCTCCATATTATATTTGCTGCTGCCAAACATTGGCAGCAGCAAATGTACTAACGTGGTCAAGTAAGTCTGACCCCATTCTTCCAAATGCAGTCCTTGGTAAAATTGGACATAGAACGACAGTTCTCGACATTGCTCAAAACAGCATTACACTAAAAGTGCTGCCATGACACCCACCGCAGGTAGCCAGGGCTGCACGTTTGCACGTTTTGTGCTACGATGTATATTATGCACTAGTACCTAACAATCGTTAAGCTAACACCGACACTGCTAGCTGTTGTAGCCCCAGTGGCAGGGCGAAGGGCGACACAGACAGTCGACACTACGAAGCACCAGGAAACGATTCAGCAGTGCACGAGACACAAAGTGCATGCAACTGATTCTGTTCGCCGTTGAAAAGTTTTCACATCTCCCTGCTAACAAATAACTGAATGGCACCAATTGGGCTGACACAACTCTTCCGGAACGTGTGTCACTGCGTCATAATGCAAAAGCGGATGACTTGACCACACGGCTCTGTCATCCACCATAAGGCACTTGGAGTTTTGCTCAGTTGAGTCTGCAATGGATGGGCCATCTTACGGCATGTTCTGCATACTTTATGTTACGATGGTCTGTTTCTTTGTACGGTCGATTGAAACGCGGCGCTCCTGCTGACGCTAGTTTCTCCATGCATGTGCTGTTGTAAATGAGCTAGACTAGGCAGCGTATGAGACTCCTAACCTAGCAGACACCTCAGTGCAGAGAGCACTTGTATGCCTACGACAGAAATTCCAGAAGGAGGTATGCCAGTAGCAAAACCTGCTGCATCCAATCAGTGTGAGCTCAAAGCAGGTGCACTCACCACAATGCGAATGCATCAATGCCTTTTATGACATTTAAGAGCTACACTCTGGCTAGTGTAGCAAAAATGGCATTAGGCATTAAAATGATTGAGCTAGCCAAACTTCAGAGCGAGAAAGCTCTTGTCAAATGTTAAAAAGAAACAACTTTACCATTCAGCACGGGGAGAGTCAGCAGGAATGATTTTAAGGAAACGAGATCTGAGACCAAGTGGCATCAACTCAATTGCACCAGAGATGACGAGGCTTATTAGCTATAGCAGCAGCACTCCAAACTTTCGGTGCAGAAAGAAATTGCCACTCTTCCAGCAGATGGGCAGACTGTCCTGATGTGCCAATTCTCAAGCCTCTAAGAGTCATCTGCTTTCAACGCTCTCGCCTAGTGCTTTGTGGTGTCTCCAAGTGCTAGGCCATAGACTTCTGTTTGACCACTACACTGTGGGTGTGCGGCATGACAGCAGGAGCAGCACTCGTAGCGTAAGAAACAAAAGAAAAAGAAAAAGCACGAGCACAATACGTCAGTGAGTCACCAAAGGGCATGCATAGTCCGTACGAGCACAAGCGTGCGAGTCTGGAAGGACCTGCCACGTCTGCGGCCGAAAAGTGCTAACCCAGGCTGCATCCAGCGCAGGCAGTAAAGTGGTACTGGCACACCAACCTTGCCCCTGGGATTGCATGAGAATGCTCAAAGGAGTCCGCGAACGCGGAGAAAGAGAACGAGACTAGCACTTGCGGCTCGGCAGCGTCGCTGCCTTGCCGCCGGGCCCGGACACCGATGATGCCGACGTGTTGGAGCCGGAGGACGCCGTCGAGGGAAACTTGCGTAGGCGGATGGCCCCGGGAGATCCGGCCGCAGCGGCGGCGGAGGACGCCGCGTAGCCACAGGCGTCGACCCGGATGCGCAGCTGGGCGACCCACCGGCGCTGGTCGTCCGTCGTGGGCGCCAAGAGGAGCAGCTCCTTGGCCGATGTTGGGTCCACCTTGCAGGGCGCCAGCATGTCAACGTGGTCCCGGTGCAGTTTCAGGCGGCAGCGGCGGCACTCAAGAGCTGGCGGCGGCTTGAACATATGCCACAAAGGCTTGGGGCACAGCTCGCAGGTGGTCGGCATGTGGAACGAGATCGGGACTAGGTCGTGGCCTTTGTGCTCCAGAGTGCTTAGCTGCACGTGCGGGGTAAGGCAATGCATTAGCACACAGCTCACAAACGCCTAATCTTTAGAGAACAAGATACTGTATCTCAAAGAAGTACGGTTCATGTTACAAGACTGGGCTTGCAAACATGAACGGAGGAGAGAAGTCTAAACACCACAAACGTCGTGGTGTTGCATGGCACTGGTTGTGCCTTGACTTTTCTCTTGTGTCCGTATTCGTTCGCCCAGACTTCTAACATGAATACATGTCAAGCACTTCAGCTCTCTGTTATTCTAAGAGAACAGTTGGTGAGTTAAACAGCATTTCAGTATATAGCAAAGAAGGAAAAAAAAAAGCCTGCTATATCCCTCCCCTACTTGTTTTCTTTTCGCACATCTCATGTTATGAGCCAGTTGAAACAATGCCGAAGCAACTCAGCCTAACTACACCTTAATGTTTTTGACAAAGGTACAGTATGGCACTATATTAAACAAAACATGAAAATCTGTCCCACCTGTCGAACTACAATTGAAACGTTCAAGCGCTATAGAAAAGCCAGGCGCAGTAATAAGCACACTCACATCTTTGAGCTGTGGTGGATCGTTGCTGTCTCCGGGCTTTCTGCTCTCACCTTCGCCTGCATACAGGACCTGCACAAACCACGCAGTAAAGACTATGTAAGAGCTCTATGCAGGAAAGGCATCGCGCAGGTAGTAAAGTCAATGTTTTGAGCAGCCCGAGCCATATCCCAGATGTGGAGTCAAATATGTGAACAGCAAATAAGGCTGCTTACATCTGAGAACATACCTTAATGAGAAATTGTATTTGATTTGCTCTAAGCACAGCACAAAAATACGATTAATTATTTGAAGTAGGGTATTCATACTGAGCAGACATCACTCGACTTCTTATCTCGCCGTGTCATAGATTTCTTTGCCTGTCTTGACCGCACGGTATGGACATCTTGTCTTTAAAGGGGCCGCGACTCCTAACTTTCGCTCATCTGCATTATGTGGATTAATCCACGGGTCTTAACACACCAGTAGGCAACATTTCAGGGCATTTGACCAAAAACTTAATTTTTAATGAGGATTTTTGTAAACACACAAGCGGCCCGAGAATCTGGCAACACTGTTGCACTTATGAGCCGTGACATAACAAGCCACTTCAAGCCACTTGCTCTGTGAGTGTCTGTACTCTGGCCAACGATATTGTTTTGTAGTCGTCTGCACGTGTAACCGAACTATTGGAGCTTGCTTGAGTTAAGCACTAAAAATTGAACAGTTTAAGCGGCTGGAAGAAGACAATGGCTCCATTCCACAATGCATGTGATGGCACACCTGCCACAGCTAAATGGTGGTCGTCGTTGGCGAGCGAGCTTATAGTTGGAAACTTCGAGGGATCATTTCGCAATAAAATATTCTTTTACAGTACATTTTTCCTACATGTTCAGGCACATTAACACCTTATACCCCTTTTTTTTGCTCAGAGCTGCAATTCAGTGGGTGGCCCCTTTCATGTAGAGTTGCACAACTGTTCTGTACATTGTACACAGTGTATACCCTCGAATAAGGACCACGCTCGTGTAAGGGCCGCTCCTTGCAACTTGGCAGCCCGAATTTATGAAAAAAAAAGAAGAAAAGTGTCACCAGCAAGCAATAGCATCATCACGTTTAACGTATGGCGCATTTTGCTGGAACCACCAGGTGGCGATACAGTCGTCGGCCGATTTTTCGGACCTGGGGGGGGACCGAAAACAAGTCTGAAAAATCAAACAGTACGAAAAATTCGTTTTTGTCAAAAATATGAACGTTATTGAACATAAGGCTGGCTTAAAAAAGTCCATAGTTCTGCCTTGCCTCACACTAAACTTCGAAGCAATTTGGTTCGCCCGTATTTCCGCCAAGGTGACATCGTCACCGTAAATGCTCGACAAAAGCGTCACTGCGGTGGCGATCTCCGCTGCCGATGGCTGCGGGCAATCATCGTTGTCATCATCTGAGTACGGCTGCGGCACAACCTGGCCAAGAATTTCTTCGTCTGTGGGCTCCGCGCACAAAACAATGTCATCATTCGCATGAGCGAAGTCCTTAAATGTCATAGTGGCAGGCACATCCACTCCACCACTGCCCAGATCGCGCATTAGGTCCTCCCCGCCATCGGTGCCGTCCGGATCACATACGTCCAGGTCATCCGCCTCGGGCTACTTGGCAGCAACGAACCCGGCATGCCTAAAGCAATGTGCAATGGTGTCTACTTCCACCACCTTCTAAGCTTTGGCCAACATATGGATGGTGGCCACAATGTCGACCTTGTAGGCCTTCCCAATGTCAAGGCACAAGACGGTGCGGCTGAGCAGGCAGGCATGGTAGTGCGCCTTGATGCTTCGGATCACACCTTGATCCATTGACTGGAGCATGCTTGTGGTGTTAGGCGGAAAAAATTCCAGCCTGTGGCGTACACGTAACCTGAAGGAGTACAGCAACTAGCGAGCCGCTGGGCACACGTTAACTGTTGCCATGGCGAGAACACAGTACTGCTTAACCCTTTCGCTACGAACCCATAGGCCATCGGACACGGAGTTCCGATGATTTCAAATCTCCCGCAAAAATTGAGAACTCGCGTTTTACGGACATGTAGCACCATCTAGTCTAAGCCTGGGCAACCCACTTTTCATTTTCACCTTTCTTGGTTTACATTTCGCCCGCTGAGCTGCGCCCTCGTGTGCAGTTTGAATGGAATCCAGTTTTGTTTTACGTGAGAATGGCCGCCACTCCCTGTCGCCCGCTGCAACAGCCGATTGCTGTTGCAAGCACTTCGGCCGCTTCTACCGACGATTTTTTCGATCCGAGTAGTGCAGACGACTCGAGTGACGATTTTGAAGTTTCAGAGTCGAGTTCCGACGATGACACTTCAGACCAGACGCCTCAGACTTCGCACTGCTTATGAAGGAAAAACGCACTTGATATTTGACGATAATGGTATCCTTTCCTTGCTTAGGGTCTCAACAATGTACGGCAAGGATGTTTTGCCAAATCCAGCACGCTGTATGAAGTTTTCACCCGTAAGACAGCCTGGTGCCCATCTTGCAGCAGCGCTACGGAGTGACGTGCGTCGCTTCTCAAGGGCGCTTGATTTTTTTCTTTTGTTTTTCACAACGGAAGTGCTTCAGACGTTATGTGACAACACTAACAAGTACGCCTGGATGCGTATTTTGGACCGGCAAACCTACGCTCGCCGGGACGGCTCCTGGGAAGAGGTAATGCCACTGGAGATGCTGAGGTTTATTGGACTTATCATCTACATGGGGGTTGTTGATGTACCACGGCTCCACATGTACTGGCGGATGACGGGGATATTTTCAAGCCTTCTCCCACCAAATATTATGAGACGGGACCGATTCTTTGCACTTTTAGCTTGCGACACATAAATCTGCAGTCACAAAATTTGTTTCAACCACAGCGCAACCTTGTCGTGGATGAACGCATGGTAAAATCAAAAGCGAGGTCAGGAATCAGGCAGTACATTCGGGACAAAGTGACGAAATTTGGATATAAGCTGTGGGTTCTGGTGGATTCGAATACCGGCTATACAATAAATTTTTTTGTGTACACTGGAAAACGCGAGGTACCTGGACCCCATGGATTAGCGTTTGACGTTGTGACTCGGCTTTGCACAGAGTATCTTCATCAGGAATATAAAATTTTTATGGATAACTTTTATACGTCGGCAAAATTATTCGAACACCTCCTTGAGCACAAGACGCTTGCCTGTGGGACCACTCGCAAAGATCGTCGGGGCTTCCCAAAAGAATTGAAGGATGCTACGTGGGAAAGAAGGGCGCAGCGTGGGGACGTTCGCTGAATTCGGGAAGGCAACATCCTTTTCATGGAATGGAAGGATCGACGTTCTGTGTGTCTGATGAGCACGATGCACAGAGCAAATAAACATGTTGCTGCTAAAAGGAGAGAGAAAAGGGGGGGCCAGTGGGTTGTGAATACCATAAAGAAGCCCCTCCTTGTTCATGAGTATAACACGGGAATGCTCGGCGTGGACAAGTCTGACCAAATAATTGCCACGTACAACGTACTCAGAAAGTGTGTACGTTGGTGGAAAACATTGTTTTTTCATGCTGTGGACATTGCGTGCGTAAATAGTTTTATTTTATTTCAGGAGCACCAAAAAGAGAATCCAAATGTCGAAGAACTATTTAGAAACAGGAACTTTGACCAATTGGTGTTCAGAGAAGAATTGATTCACCTGATATTTCAATACGATGAAGTTTCTCAAGGACACGCCCCTTTCTCACCCCCCTTCTCTCCTCTAGATCCTGTTTGGCACCAGCCGAAAAGAATGGAAAAGAGAAGAAACTGCAAGCTTTGCTACGAAAAAACGAAAACACAAAACAGAACGAACGTATTCTGCTCGACCTGTAATATTTACCTTTGCTTCCTGCCTTGACGAGACTGTTTTGCCAAGTGGCACAGTCGTCGGGGCCAGTAGGTTGATGGGCCGAAAAAAATTGTTGATATGCTGCACTGAATTTGTGTTTATCTAGAATGATAGCTAAGAGAACTAGTAATAATTTGTATATTTCAGATTTCTCAAAATAATTTTTTTGCTCTCTACATTCACTAACTTGTAAAGTGCTTGTATAACTTTTTGTATGTTTTTTGTTATTTAACAATTAAATTTTCCAATTCTATAAGTTTCATACCAAAGTGTTTTATATGTATAAAAGGCCGAATCAATAAGCTACCATTTCATATATTACAATGCTACATGTTCCTTTTTTGTCAAGAGTAATAAATTTTTTTGTGAAAGCACAAAATATGTGCCGTTTTTCCGCCGCAGCGAAAGAGTTAAGGTCGCAACACTCTATTGCCTGCGACAACACCAAAATCGCAGTACAAAGCCCATTGCAAAGACGTGGCTGGAAAGCAAATGGGCTTATCCACGTCACGGGCGAGAAGTACTACACAGGGGTGCTGCGAGCACGTCTCCGTGGTAAAAGTTATTCACGGAGACACCGGGACCCAGGCCTGGTTGCTCGAGATAGTGCAGTGACACTCGCGTTGGCTTCGGAGAGATACAGGTTGGCGTAGCTTGGCCACGCACTAGGACACCGTACCACTCTTCGGCCTAGCGCACGCAAAGGGGCAACAAAAGGTGAGCGTTCGCCTCGGGCGCGAGGCGCCGTCAACGAAGCCCAACGGGCCCCAAACAATGGGAGTCCACAGACGGAAAAGGGAATGCGCGCTCACCCTCGGCTGTCCCGGAGAAATCTGACTCACTCCCGACGTGCGCGAAATGTCCCGAGAGATCATGCGCGCGGCGCCACAGTCGACATCTGCTACCGGGTGAGAGGGGTTAAGCGTCGCTCCTCACTCTCCCACCGCGGCAGACAGCGAAGGAGGGGAGTGATGTCGCGAAATGAGAATGGCAGAAAAGGCGGCAAAGCCCGCGCAAAGGCAGCAAGCTAGCCTCTATTGCCCCAAGCTAAATGGCTTCAAGGTTCGTCACGCTACCGTGTGCGCCACAGTTGTCAACAAAAAAACATGACTTTTCTGCCTTGCCGCACAAACTTGCGGTTAAGTTTGCGTAGATATTTTTCAAATAAATACTGCGTGATCCTCGCCTTGGAGTTACT